GGACAGCGCTGGGAAGTCTTCAGATGATTGCTTCCTAGTACTTGAGAAACCTGAGCGGAAGCATGAAGTGAGGAAGATGGGGCAGAAGGCTCCCTTCACCTCGCTTCTCAGAAAGAAGAAAGTGCAGAAAGTGAGTTGTTAGAATCAGGAGTGAACTCCCAGAACTTGAATCTGCACCCAGGGCAAAGAATGAAACAGAAATCACAGCTTTACTTGCCTTTGGTGGGGAAAAAAATCACTCATGCTTTTTCAACTGGGATAAAAGTGAGCAAACCATTCTCTCAACTGGTGACTCCACTTTTCTGGGAGAGATCTGGCTACTTCATCTGGTGTGTGGCCCAGCTCAGTCTCTTCCCCAGCATTTATTTGCTTCAACTGCAAGGGCGAGTGAGGCCCCTCAAATTACTGCCGTTGTCCAGATTTGTGGGAGCTTCAAAGTCAAAGAGCAGCTGGTGGGGTACTGGGGTCAGATTCTAGGAGGCTTCAATAACCGCTTTGCTCTCAGGGAACACACAGCAAGCTCCTGCTGTTTCCCACACACAAAGGGCTTACTCTAGTCTGGAGCTGTGGGGCGTGGGCGCTCCCTGTGCGTACAGAAAACCAGCCACTGTGATTTGAACTCCTGTGAGGACTAACACCCTCCGCGTGAGGGTGATGATAACTGAACGGTCGAAGCCTGTGAATGTTTGCAAGCAGGTGAGCACTTCTCTGGAACGTTCCTGAAATGACTCCTGCTGTGTGCGGCCTGTTGGACTAGAATGACCTCTCAGATTCATACCAGGGCAGAGCCCGTTCGAGCCTATGAAAAAGCTCCCAGGGCATGTGTTCTGCAAACATACAGACGCTATATAAACATGAGGCAAATATTTTAAAAGATGAAGAGTGAGATACTTGTTCTCCCAGGAGTGCGGTGGTTGGAACTCTGGGCCCTGGGACATACCTCCCAGGCTTAGTCGCCTGCAGTTTGTTCTCCTTGGCTCGGTACACACTTATCTGCATTATGTGTTCAAAATGTGCCCAGCCAAAGACCAAACAAATAGCCAACGGCATTTTCCTATTAGGGCCTGTTTATAGGAGGTAGAGCAAAAGAACAAAGCTGTTGCTTTTGATTTTTGACAGGACGCCAGCTGCTGCTTCAGAGCTGCAGAGTTTACAAGGAAGAGAGAGGAAGGATTTTTAGCTGTGATTCAGTTACACTTAAAGCCACAGAAAATGCCATTCTGAACTAAAGCATCTTCTGGGAAGCAGAAAATATTCCAAGTTCTCGGGTGATACTTCAGTGCAAGGGTGAAAGTTAGCACTAACGCAGAGGTGGCAGAATGGTCTGGATGGATGGGTGACGCAGTGAGCATGACTGGTGAGCTGGGTGGCCTTGTCCCTCAGTTTCCAGAGAGCTGATTAGAGGTGCTGGAACCCAAAGGGCCTGCCTGACGTCACTCATCTGATCGTGGAAGTTTTGGGACCAGAATCCAGAACCCCTGACAACTATTTTGTATTTTAGGCTGCTTTAAAGAAGCAAACTATTAAAAGGTCTGTTTCCTCGAAGATCAGAAACACTGCTGACTATTTAATAAGTGGGGATGCATTCAGTTTCCCACCATGTGACCTGTTCAGGGCCAGTGGGTCCCTGCTCTTGGGGTTGCCACCGCCATCCTGAAGTGTGGTGCAAAACAACCTGGAATCTTTGGGCCCACCAACAGGCCCAGCGACTGGGAACCCCGTGAGAGGTCCTCAGCAGCACCTCCCACGGAGCCCCAGTCCCACCTGGATGGGTTTGCAAGGGTCTGGAAGGCTGCCTGCCTGGACCCTTCTGACCCACCTGCATGGGCTCAGCAGTGGCCACAGTGACTTTGTGCACAAAGTTTGACTTCCTATACTCACCAGGGTGTCTCCTTTAAAAAAAAAAAAAGATTTACTTACTTATGCATACAAGAACTGGGGTGTAGGCCAGAGGTGCAGGGGGGTGGATGGTGTGTGTGAGAGAGGATTCACCAGAGACAGAATGGGGAGCAGAACAGGCAGATCGACTGAAATACACTGCTGAGGGGAGCAGCATGCGAGACAGGAGAGGTCTGCTGGGCCCTGTGGGTCAGCTCCCTGGCTGGGTATCAAACTCCTGCTACAGTGGCTGTCAACATCACTTAATAGTGCTGAGACTTAACCACTTGCACCACCAGGAAGGCCCCAGGGTATCTCCTTTATTACAAAAGTCTGAGGAAATTGAAGTGGTATTTAAATAACAATCCTCCTTTTACAGAAAAGAACTCCCATGAAAGAACAGCTCCCTGGGTCCTCCCACACCCAGTTAATTTGTCCACTGAAATCTTCACCAGCATTTCAGTGAGCTATTGTTACCTGCTTCTGGAAGTGAGGGTGGGAACACAAGGTAACCTGAAGGAAGAGAGGAGGGATCCCTCTGTGCTTCCATTTAAACCAGTAAGATGTTATAAAGGCGAAACCTTGCTATTTCGACAATGTGGGTAGACCTTACTGAAATAAGGCATATGATTTCACTCAGGAGTGGTACATAAAGAAATAATGAATGAATAAACTAAGTGAAATAAACTTTTAACCTGTAAGATCAAATTAATGGTTACCAGAAAGGAAGGGACAGGAGAAGAGTCCAGCGGGTCAACTCTATGGTGAAGGGTAGAATTGGACTTGTAGTGATGAACTTAATGTGGTGTAGACATGTCTTGATTTGCAGTGACACACATCTGAAACTTGCATGATGTTAAATCCAACATAATGCACTGTTGCTTTAATAAAAATAATGTTAAATGCACTGTTGCTTTAATAAAAATTTTAAAATGAAACTATTAAGATCTTAATTATCATTCTTTTGGCTATTCATTGATTCATTTTCTTGTTTGCTTCCATTATGATTCTCTCCAAAAAATTAAAAAAAAAAAGATTTATTTATTTTTATACAAGAACTGGGGTACAAGCCAGAGGTGTGGGGGTGAGAGAATTCACCAAAGACAGAGCGGGGAACAGAACAGTAGGGCAAAATACACTGCTGAGGGGAGCAGCGGGTGTGACAGGAGAGGTCTGCCACGCCATGTGGGACCCTCGCCGGCCGGGATCGAACCGGCGCTGCAGAGGCTGCAGACAGCTTCACAGCACTTCGCTCAACCCACTGTGCCACTGGGGAGGCCCTCTCCAGAAATGTTTGACTAAACTTAGAACAAAGTGCATATATATGTTATAAACAAAATATAAATGAAGTCAGGCCACTACAGAGGCAGAAACAGATCTCATCCACGCATTGTCATATGAAATCTATGTTAAATATCAAGTTTTACTCTGACCATTCTGGCAACCAGGATAAAAAAGGAAGACACAATTCCTAGTTATCAAAAGGGGGACGATTCCAGTTGCTTCAAGAGAGACTAAATGTTGCTCTTCTTGGGCTTATGCCATTGCTAAACACTTATTGAGGACTTCCATGGCTTAATACAAAACTGCCAGCCCAAGGCTCGCCCTCCCTCTACCTCTCTGCCTTCAGTGAGTTCTTGTTTCTGGGCACCTGGAGTCTCTCCCCACTCCAGCCAGTGTTCTGAGTTTTCATAAGCTGTGTTTTTACATGTCAGGGCATGACATTGGGTTACAGGGTTTAGTTTGGGTCTTGAAAAATACGCTGTCCAGGATGACTCCAGGATTTGCAATTTGAGAACAAGAATAGGAATCTTGGGCAAGTAGGATTCAGAAATCTCCTGCTGTGACTACCCAGTCTCTGTCAATGGGCCTTTCCTTCTCCCTGAAGAGTTCCCTCTCTGGCCCTTTTTTGCTACGTCAGAGTACTTTTTGGAATGGGGCATCTTGAAGGAACAGTTCTGCAGCATGCACCCGGGGGATATTTACTCAAAGGCTTAGTATGGTGTAATTCGTATTTATTTTACACACCTTCTTGGCCCCCAAGAGTGGGGAATGGAGCTAGCAGCTATGTAGACATGTAGGGCTTAGTATATATGTGCACTCATTAAGATAAATCAGACTGAAATTCTACCCTTGAGCTCTTAAGCGCCATTCTGAAGTTGTAACAGGAATTTAGACTTCTTCCAGAAATAAAAAAATCAGTGTTAGATGCCCATTTCTTTACATGCTCTGAAAGGATGAATTAGCTCCTTCCTCCTAAGTCTATACTCTAGAAATTCTAGAACTTGTGAGCCTGGGCAAGAAAAAAAGTTATAGAAATCCGACGTGTTGCACTTTTTAATAGATGGTGTGAGTAAGGAAACACTGCAAAAATAGTCCCTTCTCTCGGATTCAGTTGAGTTACTTGAATATATATTGAAAGTTTATTTGTTCATGAGTTTGTTTTTAATGTAAACATACATATCCTCTACATACACCATGTATGCATGGAAGCCTGTGTTTGAGAGTGCATTGTTACAGTATACTACTCCTTATCCAGTTTTGCATTCCATGCTTAGAGTTACCAGCCACCAGCCATAGTAAGAAGATACTACACACAAATGGACATTTTGAGAGAGAGATCACAATAACATAATTTTTATTACAATGTATTGTTAAAATTGTTCTGCTATATTATTATTGTGGTTAATCTCTTGTTGTGCTTAATTTATAAATTAAACTTTATGGTATATATGTATAGGAAAAAATAGTTTAAATAAGGTTCAAATGTCAAGTATCCCTGGATCTTGGTGTTCTATAATTGGGGACTACTATACTAAAGAAAGTAATGTTTCAAACTGAGAAGCAGACTTTGTGTTCAATAGATAGTAGGAAATGTGTCTGAATTCTTGGTCAAACATCATCATTTGAAAGAGCAGGTACAGTGGCTGGTGATAGGCTGGAGCCGCTTGCTCCTGTCTTGATTATGTGGTCTCCAGTCACATATGTTGCTGCGTGTCTAGAAAAATAACCTTTGATCCTGAATGGACAGAATAACTGTGCTCAGTTCTACTTGGAATGTTTTTTATAATAATTGTATAAGTCATGACTTGATTCTTACTTGTGCTTATTCTTTTTAAAAGTTTTGGAAAGGAAGATATCTACAAGACAAAGTAGAGAGGAGCTGATAAGAAGGGGAGTTCTTAAGGAATTGCCTGATCAAGGTGAGGAAATTAATCATACATTTAAAATAATTTGATCCTTCGTTCTTTGGTCTTTCTTTAATTTTCTTTGGAAATTTAAGGTGACCGCGGTCTTTGGGAGATAAAGCAGTTAAGTACTGTACTCCCAAAATCTTGCTTTTATTCATATGCCTTTGTGAATTGTAGAGAATCTGAGCTATTTTAGAAAAGAAATCCAATGAGGGCCTCCCCGGTGGTGCAGCGGTTGAGCGCTGGGTTGCGAAGCTGCCCGCAGCCCCTGCAGCACCGGTTCGATCCCCGGCTGCTCCCCAGCCACCGGAGGAGGGTCCCACATGGCGCGCAGACCTCTCCTGCCGCCCGCTGCTCCCCTCAGCAGTGTACCTCGGTCCTTCTGCCTGCTCTGCTCCCCGCTCTGGCTCTGGTGAATTCTCTCACCCTCCCCCGCTTCTGACTGTACCCAGTGCTTATATAAATAAATAAAAATAAATCTTTTTAAAAATAAATAAATTAAAAAAGAAATCCAATGACCTTTTTGGTGAGTCATTCACTGTATGTCATTCTAACATAAATAAATAAAAATAAATAAATGAAATTAAAAAAATAAATAAATAAATAAATAAATAAACAAATAAATTAAAAAAGAAATCCAATGACCTTTTTGGTGAGTCCTTCACTGTATGTCATTCTAACATAAATAAATAAAAATAAATAAATAAATAAATAAATAAATATAAATAAATAAATAAAACAAATAAACAAATAAATTAAAATAAATTAAAAAAGAAATCCAATGACCTTTTTGGTGAGTCCTTCACTGTATGTCATTCTAACCCTAAAGCTCTGCAAAGATACACTGTGGCTGGAGATACAGATCATGTACAAACGCACACAGGACTCCCTCTATATTCTTGCATTTCAGTTGTTCTGTACAAGTTTACTCAATTGCTGGAGTAAATACAAAGTTTCAGCTTGATCTTTTGATTTCTTAAAGCTACCCATAAAAGAAAAGAGAGAAAAAAGAGATAGTAAATGTATCTCTTGTCCTTAATACTCCATAATATGCTCAAATGTACAGTCAATAAGATATGAGCGGAGAAATGAACTTCATCTGCTTTCTGCATTCTCTTTCATCTCCCCAATATTGTTTTCTTTTCCTTTTTCTGAGTCTAGTTAGTTGTCTCTCATCTTTTCACTAACAATTATAATTTCCAAGATTGATTTTCTACCTCTAATCTTCTTCCTCCTTTTTCCCTTCTATCCTTCCAAGGGATGCTCTCACTCAAAAAGATAAGGATTGGATATAAACTGACACAAAACCTCAAAAAAAGACACCAATATAGGTTACTCCTCCAAATTAAATACTGAATGACTTCCCTGTTCCCCATGCTGTTGAAATGAAAGGAAATTGTTGCAGCATTTCCCCTCAACATTTACTGAGATAAATATTATTATAGTATTTTTATGGGAGCAAATAAAATGCTATTCATTTGGAATTGAAGTAATAATACTTCTCTTTTCCTGATACATGTTCTTTGCAAGGAACTTAACATTTTTTGGCATTCACTATTTACAAATCCAAATAATCCAACTTGCCCAACCTCTGAATAATTCCAGCAGGGAGCTGGGAAATGCTTTACTGTTTTAATCCTACTTCAAAGAAAATAGAGACATCTGTGGTGAATAAAATACCTTTTTTTTTTTCTTGTGCCCTCACAGTTAGGTACTTCAAATACTTTTCTCACTCTATTTTATGAATGAACTTTATGTCTTCCTTAATTTTCTATTACTGGAAGCTACTTATTTCCTGAAACTTTTAAAACTAAAAAAATGCACATCCCTAACTGTTTTTTTAGTTGAAGGTGGTCTTACAGTACCAAAATGTGTCTCCTGTCTTGTCAGTGGTATTTTTAGAAATATTTTGAAGGAAAAAAATTGAAAAATTTATAGGTGAAACTGTAAATGAGTATTAAAATAAAGAATACAGGCCCTTTTTAAAATCTCAGTTAAAGACTAAGTAGAAAAGGGCCTCCCCGGTGGCGCAGCGGTTGAGCGCTGGGTTGCGAAGCTGCCCGCGGCCTCTGCGGCGCCGGTTCGATCCCCGGCTGCTCCCCGGCCACCGGAGGAGGATCCCACATGGTGCGCAGACCTCTCCTGCCACCCGCTGCTCCCCTCAGCAGTGTACTTCAGCCCTTCTGCCTGCTCTGCTCCCCGCTCTGGCTCTGGTGAATTCTCTCACCCTCCCGCGCTTCTGACTGTACCCAGTGCATGTATAAACAAGACAAACAAATATAATAAATAAATAAATAAAAACATGCCTCTATAAAAAAAAAAAAAAAAAAAGACTAAGTAGAAAAGCATTTATTTGTTCTAAAAGCATGGCAATGATCAATTTAAAGAACCTCTGCTTAATAGTGCTTGGTTTTTATCATGCCAGTTCTGTTGAACTATTTGCATGATAATTTCATCTCTTTATTTTCAAAAAAGCTGACTGTATTTGACCTATTTTAAACTTTTGCTGCCTAAATATGAAAACTGTCAGAACATAAATGACAATTTTTAACCTAAAGGTAATGTCATAGGTTACTTATTTTGGAAGGCACTAGATTGCTGAAGTTTTCTTTCCATCTTTTTGCAAGATCCCAATATAGAAGTATAGAAATCACCCAATATTTGTAAGTTCCTGGTGATGCCTATTGTAAAAAGAGTCCTTCCTCTTTTCAATCAGGTGTTGGAGAAAATTGTTTTCAGATATTTTTCCCAAAACCACTATCTTAAGAATTTCGGTCTGTTTTTAGCTCTAGCCAGAGCCTGGAAGCTGCTGTGCTTGGTGACAGCCTCCTCCCTTCTGCCAGTGAAAGAATCTGCCAATTCTTTGCCTATATCTTCCTTGATGTTACCTGGGCTCTTGACATGCTTATCAGCTACATCTTTATTCAGAGAGCCAGTAGACTTTTTCAACACATCCTGCTCGCCTGGATTTGACCTTGTCCCACCACATGCCTTCACTCCCAGCTACTTTTATTATTCTTTCTAGATTATGTTTTTTACATCCATGGTCTAGTCCAAGTTCCTTCCTCATCAGTTGGTTCTTTTCTTCCATCTTTTCCCTCGGCTTTAACAAGAAGATATGTGGATGTTTTTGCCTGCCTGCCAGCCTCCTTCCCCCATGCCAGTGCTTTTTAACCTTCTTGGAGTCACTCATCTTTTGGTTATTCAAATTTTTCTTCTTGTCTCTGTACCTCTATTAACCTCTTTCCCAAATACATCTGTTTATTATGAAGGGGAAAATCTCTCAAATGCTGGCATACTACTTTCTTAACCAGTTATTTTCGGGTGTGCTTTATCTCTTGGTTTACTCTAGCTGATGACTCTGAGTTTTCTCTTTGGGCTTGGATGGACTGGGAGTGGACCACTTACTGCACCCTGCAGTCAGCTCAGGCTCTCCCTCCTACCTGTCCCGAGCTTGTATTTAACAGACATACAGAGACTGTACTAAGGATTTATTTTAATTTTAAAATAACACGAAACTAAAAAGCCTTTTCAATACATATACCAGTTAATTGTGAATTACTTCAAGTCTCTGTTTTACTCTTGAATTTCCTATTTATCACCAACTTGTCTCCTTTTCCTAGTTATTTTTATATTCACCATAAGTATCTTTTCACTTGTTGACTTTCTACCATGTGCTAATAATCCAATTTCTTCTTGTGCCTCAACTATTTAATGTTCTTTCCAGCATTTTTGTTCTAAAAATTTTTAATCATTTATTTAACCTACTAAAGGATTTTAATAGAGTAATGGTTAAGATAGAATTAAACATCACTAACATGACTTCAACATATTTTTGTTACCAATTAATATTAGAGAAAACAAAGGTAAATTTATAATTTGGTTTCCTTAAAACCAAGACTTTTATATAAATAAGTGGTTTTCTATTTTGTGTAGAATTTTCCATTCTTACATTAGTTTTAATTTTTCCTGAGTCTCATATTTAGATTTTATATTGTCTCTCCTCCCTCTTTTTTTTGAGCAAATTCTTGGGATCCAGTAATAAGAAAAGAGTCTCTTGGTTTAACATACATTCTTTAAAATATTATTACCTTAATTTTATTGAAATAGTTGATATTTACTTAGAATGGCATTTCTTTAATTATTGTCTATTTTAGCTTTCCACAGGAATCAGATTTTTAGGCACTTAGAAGTTATAAGACAAAGTAGCAATTGTTCTTTTGACCATGACATAACTCCATCATATGTATTTTAATTATTGAAATGTCATGGCTGTTTTTATCAAAAAGCCTGGTGAATTTTATTTTGGAGGCAAAGCAGTTCAATCATATTTAATGAAAATTTTGGAGATGGTCTTTGTTTCATGATTGCAAAAATAAGATTAATCAAAAATTACATAAAACAGCTCTAATCATGAATTTCTTCAAGTTTGCTAAGTCAGAACTAGAATTTATTAATTTTTCTTTTCCAATGGTAGCAAAGCCTCTTAAAAATTTCCAGATATGAATTAGGGTTAATCTTTTCAAATGTCACTGAAATAAGCATTTCTGTAATTGTCTTTCACTTTAGAAATTCCACAGAATTATGAAAGCTCGAGTTAAAATTATTTATGATCTAGATAACACATTCAAAATTTTATTTTTAAATTTTTAAAAATTTCTCTTGCAATTTTTTTCTACATTTTTCCTCTGATATTTTCAGATTATTTAGTCAACTTAAAAACTTATTGGCCAGTTGAATATAGTAATCACTTGACTATATTTTAACATTTTCATAAGTAAAGAAAATAAAAATAAAATTAGCCTTCTTATCATCTTTTCCTTGAATATAGAGTAGCAAATATATTACTGTGTAAAGTTAACATATCATAGAAATAATGTTCCGGAGACAGTGGTGCTTGGAAATGTTCATATTCTTCCATTAATCATTTGTATGTGTAATTACACTTCATGTTATTTGTGTATTTGCATTCAATTTGTGTTTTTGGTGTTATTAAAATGTTTATTCCATTCTTTAGATTTCTCCTTTTACCCTCAGTTTCTGGGTGACAAAGAGACTCTTAGGTATTGACTTCAGAAACCCAAGCACGAGAAAAAGGACCTCGTTGCCTGGGGGTGTTGTCTAACTAGTGTATCCATTCCTGCTCTCTTGAAATGGCACCTGAATAGTTAGCTGTACCCCAAGACTAAGGATTTTCTAGCTCTTTCATTTGAATGAGTTATTCCATAAAACATGGTGAATGAAGCCTTACAGGGACTGAGACCCTGAACCCTATAATACTAGGAACTGAAACACTGGGGTTTAAGAAAGCCATCAAGTTAGACATCTAGGTGTTTCTTTCCCCATTTTAGATGGAGATGTAACAGTTAACTTTGAAAATTCAAACGGGCACATGATACCCATCGGAGAGGAATCTACCCGAGAGGAAAATGTAGTAAAATCTGAAGAAGGTAATGGCTTTGTAGCTGAAAAAGCACCACCTCTGGAGGAAAAGGCAGAAGATAAGAAAGGTAAAATCAAAAGAAACCCCATATTCTTTTACTTCCATACATCTCGATGTTCAGAACCGGCTCTTAGGCTCCAAATAGTAAGTCCAGACCACTAGAGTGGTTAGCAACACAAAGGTGAGAGAAATGATAACTAGTGAAAAGAAATAACATGATTTCCTCAATAGATAACATCTACTTTACACGCAGATCATTTAACTTTTATTATAGAGGTCTAACTTGCAGTAATGATCAGAAGGGGTGGCTTCGTCAATTCTTAGAAATATCTGGGAATGTTATCCTTTCCTTGGGAGCTTTTTCTTAGTATTTTTTCTAAAAAACATGCCAGCAACCTGAATATCTTTCTCTGCTGGTTAGAACTGGGCTTGTGAGCAACTGAGGATGAAGGAATAGCAAAACCAGGGTGGCTCTGTCAGCCAGGACTAAAGGTTCTAATCCAGGTTCTAGCCATTTCTGAGAGACACCAAGAAGAATTTTCTATGATTTCTCTGCACAGTTGGAAATTTCAAAATGTGCTAGAGACAATTATGCTGTTCCCCAATGGCTTCTTTAGAGACCTTGATTTCTAGTGTGAATATGCTGTGGTAGGTTGAGATACCGGCCAAAGACATGTCTACTAAGACCCCTGAAGGCATTCTCAGATTCCTGGTCACTAAATGGTCCCTGTTCCTGCCCAACACTTGACTGATCACATCTCCACACATTGCTGTCAAATGCAGGAACCAACTCCACGCCTCCTACTATGCAAACCTAAACTGAAACTCCTAGAAGGTAAAGTTTTGTTGGGAGATTCTCCTTGGTTCCTCGAAGTAAAAAAGTAGAGAAATAGGCTATCTCCAGCTCTTTGATATCTGCCTCTAAGTTGGATGCCAGAAATTTGTCAAATCTAGTTTGGGTTCTGTAGGCATTTTGGGAACTCCTAGAAAAACTACTAAAAACAAACTTCATTCTCCAAAGACAAAGAGAACAAAAGATCATTGGGTAGACATCGTAACTTAAAATCATCTCCTTTGGAAGTCCACAGCCCCAGTTTATTTGCGTATCCTTTAATTTTTAAAAAATTTAGGAGTCTTTATTAATCTATTGGAAGTTTATTATTTTTCTTTATTCAGTATTCCTGGGACTTTACTCAGTTTTCTTCCATTTAAGGACTGTTGTTAGTTTATCAGTACTGACAATGAGAAATTAACAAATATATTTAATGATAGTATTCCTGGAATATAGAGATGAAAATAGACCTCAATCAACTTTAAGGGGATCCAATCGAAAGTATTAATGTTAAATTGTGATTTTTTTTTTTTTTTTTTTTTTTTGTCCAACTGTTTTGTTTTGTCAAGCTGTTAAATTTCAAATCCATCTGTGGTTTGTCCCTGGTACAGTCTTTTCACGTTCAATAATCATACCCTTCATTATGTAACAGTGCCATCCTTAGTGCTGGCCAGGTCTGTGTGGGATGTCCATCAGTGAAATGGCCAGACTTCAAAGGAATTATTTCCCTTATCAACTTATTAAAGGTTGCTGACAGTTTTATGATAATTAAACCAGCAGGTTTTGATGTTCTAAAAAGAAAATGGCAGACCACGTAGATCTATGAACATTTTGGGGGGGAGTGGTATTTGTTTATTTATTCTTTACTTATAATTAGTACATTCAGTTCTTTGCGGTCAAATAAGTTTCAAGATAGCATTGTGCTTGGCTCGCCTGTACACAGGAGATAGATGTGCTGGAAAGGCTGCCCCAGCACTAAAACGACATTGTGGCCTCCCTCTCACCCTATGGACTGAGCACCCACTGGATCCCCATGAGAGCAAGGGGAAGAGATCAGTATGAAAGCCACTTCCTGAGAGTTAAGAGACTTGTCATTCATCACCACATGGCATTTCATTATGTTAGATGTGGAATATCTTACAAATAAAGGTGGTTGTTTATGTTTCTGCAAAGATACCATTTAATCCTCTCCCACCCCCCAAAAAACCCCCACCACCACCCAAGATTCACTTTGACCTCTGCCTCACTTCTGATGTGCTCCTAACTTGAGCTCACTACCTCTGTTCTTACTGCCCCCACTCCTCTCCCAGTGTCAAAGAGCTTTATTTCATGTATTGATTCGTTATATTTGCAAAACCTATCACATGCCTTGAAAGCCACGTATCCCTGTATCTCATTTTAAGACGTGTTACTACTTTGATATTTGAAGTATCAGTGTCAAAGAAAACAAAACAAATGGCAGGTGAGGTTGGTTTAACCAAACGATGCTCTTTGCACTGGCTCTGCGGGTGGGATCCACCCAGGACAGTGTGTTCATGGGCTCCTGAAGGCACCTGACCCTAGAGTTGGTTCAGTGGACTTGGGCCAACACTTGCAACTTTTCCCTTGAGGACTGCAGAGCTCTTGGTCTCTCATTATTCTTTCTCAGTGAGTGCCATTACAAGTATGAGGGAGAAAAACTGATCTGCAGTTTATTTAATATAGCTTACCATAGCATATGAGAAATTTCAGAACTATTTGATACTATATGAGTTATTATAGAGGGCTTTCAATGAAGCAACAAGTGATTTGCATGCATTTGTTCCACAAATAATAATGAAGTTTGCCACACATGAGACTGTTATGGGACCAGGTAAAGAGTGGTAAATGAGAAGTGGCTTTGCTCTCAGGTTGATGGTGACTGATGAGGAGACCAGCATGCAAACTGGCTATTGCAATAGACAATGCCAAGTATTTCTGGGAGGGTTGAGTGCAGTTAGCCAGGGAAGTTTGCAGTGGGGGTCAAAATCCAAACTGATAGTTCCAAACTGAGGCCTGGAGAAGGCGAGAAGGAGGTGGTGAGGGAAAGGAGAGGAAGGGCATAAAGATCACATGCAGTCTCTGACTTGCTCTCAGTATTACTGAACTGAACCCCTCCAGTGCTGCTGTGCTTCTCCAGACTATATTGTAGAGTATCTGTATCAGGACAGAGTCAACAGGCAGCCTTTCTTAACCTCCTCTTGAAAGAATAATACTCCTTTGCACTATCAGTTTATATCAAGTCTTCAGATCGCAAGGAATAGCAAAAAATAGAACTTGATAATTTATTACCTCCAGATAGAAGTGAAGCGTTTGTCTTCTGCTAACGTGTTAATTTTCAGCAAACCAATCATGTTGAAATATTATGTCACCTAATAGACATAATATTTAATACGTTGTGTTGGACTGATTTTAGAAAAAAGGAGTTTATTATAATTAGGCAAAAAGCTACAATTTGTGAGCACAAATGTGTGCATAAATGCACACACACACACACACACACACACACACACACACCCTTTAGGAATCACCACTAGTAACATCAACACTGGTGGTCTCCAATAGATAGGTCATTAATAGATTTTGCAGAAGAAGGAGGAGTGGACCTTGAGTTTGCCTGCAGTGTTTCCATTTTCAAACTGGGTAGGAATCAAAACAACTAGCAGGCTACTGCTTATTGATATGTTTTATGTTAAAATGTAATGTTTCGATGTGCATTCGCCTGCATTGTTCTCAACCCTAGGGGACTTTGGTGGTTTGGTGACTTTCTGGTTCAGACCAGGTGCCTTAGGAGAGCTATTACTCTATGATAGGTAATAAGCAGCTTCGTTGAGACAAGATGTACAAACAGGCGAATGTATAAAGTAGTCTCTGATAAAGTGTTGAATGAGGCTTGGACAGGGTCAGAGGAAGTTGGGGTCACTTAGGGTGGGTGTCATGCCTGAGGAAAGCGAAAAGTTATGTTAATTACCTCCTGTAACATAATTTTTAATGCTATCTCTTGGATTGATGGGGATTGGGGTCAAAAATGAGGGGGTCCTCCCCTGGTGGCGCAGCAGTTGAGCGCTGGGTTGCGAGGCTGCCCGCATCCTCTGAAGCACCAGTTCAATCCCTGGCCACCGGCGAGGGTCCCACAAAAAAAAAAAAATGAGGGGGAAGACAGTCCTTACTATACCCTCATTAGGATAAGAAATGAAATGAAAGAAATAATAGTAAAAACCTTTTTTAAGTTATTCAGTAGGGGGAGAACACATCCAGTAAAGGCTTAGTCTTGTCTTAACACTGTCTGATGTGTTTTATTTTGTTCCATTTTTAAAGAAATGCTGCTTAGTTCTTTGGAACATAAAATGTATTTTAATTTATTTTCATTTCAATAGGTCACTGTTAGAAAAAATGTGGTATTCAGCACCCCCATGTTCAGTAATGACAGACTAACACTATTTCTCCTCTAGTTACACAAAACCTTGTGAGAGGCTTCTGTTCTTAGGTATGAATTTTTTGTATGAACTTGAACTGCTGTCTTTTCAGAAATGGCTGTTTGTGTTTACATTGCAAAACAAACTTGGTGGTTTATTTAATATGGGGGATTTTGGGCCCTCTGTACCTATAGTGGCTTTACTATTTGCAGAGGTCAGAGGAAGTTGCCGGCAAAACAGCTGCCCCAGCGCCCAGGGAGACTTGAGAAGACTGTCATAGTAGAAAGTAGTTCATTCTTCGTGCATTGCCCCTCACGTAGGAGATTCTGCAGCATCTCCCTTAGCTTAGAGAATAATGGGGTTTGACTACAAGGCGACCGAGCCCAAACCTCTTTCTTGCTGATGGGGCTTGAGTTCTCCTGTGGAAAAGAAAGTTCCTCAGCTTGGAGACAAACTGTCAGTGTGGTCAAGCTGGGCTGTCTATCCTCACTCCATGGCAGGCTGTGTCACACCAATCTGCCACTCCAGAAGGTCCCTCAATGTTGTCCAATCGTTAATATTGTTAACTTGAAATTTAACACTCATGCCCGTGACATTATCCTCCAACCACCGGCTGGAGGCTGGAGTGGCCCCTACTGTGGACATCTACACTCCTCCCCAGTGTCACGTCATCACTGTAGCTTGTCAGCCTGCTTGATCCCAGGGGTGATGACTGCACCTGGGGGACACCCATAGTTGGGCTCTCAGCCTGGGTTTTTACTGCAAACTTTGCTGCCTCTGCTGCAGAACTAACTGCACGCTGTTCCCAAGGGCCAAGCAGCCTCGTGTCTATCTGTTGCCGTGTCCTGCTCCTTCTATTTACATGGTGTGTGTCTGTATCAGTCTGCTTCTGTTCACTTTCTCATTTGTAGAGAACACTGAAAACCACTCTGAAACACCGGCAGCTCCTGCTCCACCTCCTCCGGTTCTTCCTAAGCCTAAACCCAAACCTAAGCCCAAAAAAACACCAGTGCCTCCAAGAGGGCTGCTGCTGGGGCCAGCCCCAAGGGTGACGAAGTGCCTCCTAGTAAAAAAAATATCAAGGCTCCTGGTAAGCAGGCCCCCGTTCCTCCACCCAAGCCAACAAGCCGAAACACGACCCGAGAGACTGGTGAGTATGCCCCCCTCGGGGTGAGTCCAGGGTGCTCGGCCTGGGGTGGGCGTCTTACTTCCTCCAGGAACGATCCTCTTTTGGTGTCTGGTGTGTCAGTATGTACCCTCAGTTTTGACACAGAGAATGCCCAGGAGATTCCTTTGTTGCAGCTCAAGCGAAGGAAAGTCAACCAGTTAATTCATGGACCGGATGAGTTTTTGGATGACTAGACCTCTTTCTTCCTGAGTATCTGGTCTCTGCCCGAGACACCATGGTAGGACTCAGGGAGTAGTTTGTCTGATGAAAAGCAAAGATCTGATAGGACATTATTTAGAAGTTGACTGACTTTCCCCCTATTTGAGTTTTTGGGTGGCTTTTTACCTTGTCTTACTTTTGCATGTGAGACTGTGTACATATCTTTGACATAGCTGCTAGAGCTTGATGTCTGAAATCTTTCTACTGAGGTCACATTACTTCAGCAGAGTTGAAAGCTACAAGTTCTGTGCTGCCTGCCCTCTTGCTTTTCCCCCACAGACTTCAGTTTAGGAGGAAAAGCATCCCAATGATGCGGTCACAGTTCACTATTGCTTATCACCAGGGACAAGATGCTTAGCTGTGTGTATACACGTGTATGTGGACTGTATATCCAGCTTTCCTTTCAAGCCACATGTCCTACTGCAAAGTCACCCTTCCGTCCTTCTGATGAAGAGGAATGAGGAAGCCTGTCATGTCATCCAGCTTTTAAAAGGACATTCTTTCTAGTACACTTGCTGAGTGACTTTCCCCATTAACACATCCGTAACAATTCTGTGTTATAGCAGACCTAAATTTCCTAAAACTGGCAGCAGCTTCCCTACAATTGCCAACCAGGAGATGCCCTGGTCTGCATCATTTTCCCCCTATCACTTATGCCGACAGTGCTCAAATTCAGAGACGGTCTTAGTTGACAGTGTTGACAGAAAGACCTCTGAATGCAAACAGGTGTCTCTACCCCTGTTTCTCTCTTCCTTGACCTTGAGTTTCTGGGTCTTTTCTAATCAGCTCACAAATGAAGCGTTTCAGATCCCTGTGCCAACAATGCCCAAGGCCACATCCTCAGGGACCAGCTGCCCTCCCATGTCAGTGTCCGGTCTCATTGGTATCTGTGTGTGTTTTCCAGGCTGCCTGGCAAGCTCTGGGAGCTGTGCTTGAAGTGAGGTGGGCACTGATCCACTTCTTAGAGAAAAACCCCAAACTATTGTCCTGTCCTTGGGACTTCAGAGCCTGCCTTGCACAGACTCTCACTTTTCATGTCACTTTTCACATGGTAGCAGCTAACAGTTGACTTGGTTGGGACTCTCTCTTACTTCTCTCAGGGCTGGGAACAGCTTCCACGAGCAATTTTGAGTTATTTCCAGTTCTCTTATTTGAAGATTTATTTTATTTATAGACACAATATTCCTAAGAGAATAGTCATGTTAACCACTGTCGTAAGAGGCCCTGCTGGCCTTTGGAGTGTAAATAAGACAGTTGCTGTTTTCTGGGTTATCTCAGAGAAACAAAGGGTGCATTGAAGTCTACCAACCAAACATCCAGCAAGGACCCTTTTATCAAATATTGATAATATGACTTGAAAATCCTACTGATGTTCTATTTGTAGCTATTTAGGACTTTCTACCTGGCAACTTTGTTGTATTTGAATAATGTTGGCCTTCTGGAAAGTTACTTTAATAAAGGCAACTCCTGATTTCCAATCAGATGATTAAATTCATTTAAAAAAATTTAAATGCTATGACTTAAGATTCTTCTGGTATTGATTAAGTTAATATAGACCTCCAGAAAAGCAGATACCTGTTTAGCACATTCGACTGCTTTGCTGGTGGGGAAGGTGTAAATCTTCCTAATTTTTTTTTTTCTCATTGCTGCATACTCTATTAACAAAAGTACTTCAGAGGTGAGATAGCATCACTGTTTCAGTCATGGCTCATTTCAAGGTGATATAAGCAATATGGTTGATTTCAACAATATTCTGTCATTTTTGAAGACACTTCAGTACATTATGATAACATGGCTTGAATATGCTCCCCAGGCATTGAAAAAAAAAATATTCCTTAAACCAGTCTAAAGTTAACTTTGCTGTTAGAAAATGAAGAATGTTAGAAAAAAAATACAGAGTTGACATGTGGTAGGGGTGATGTTCAACTTACCTAGGAAAATAATTGGATATTATGTTTAGGCACAAAATCCTTAGCATCTCTGTTGTGGAAAGTAAATTTAGAATGGACTTAGATTAGAAGTATGTTGAATGAGTTTGCCTTAGTTACAAGTGAGGATTGTTAAATTTAAAAAGTATTAACAGGCCAGATTTGGAGGAGGACAAATCTAGTTATTGTTTAAATCTAAAACAAAAAAGCCCCCAGTCAGAGAGACTTCTTTTAAGCCTGGATCTTGTCACCAAACAAGACTGGCTTTTTTTTTTTTTTTTTTTTTTTTTTCAGTATTTCAGCATCAAAGCCTTAAGTCTCATTTTCTATTCCTTTATTTGCTCTTTATCTCTCAACCTTTCCAAATGACTTCAGTAAAGTTATAACTGGAGGTAAGTTGCAGTCACGTCTATATACACTGTGGACAGACTTCACAGTACAAACAAGGTCAAGCCCCGTATTTCTGTGAAAGGTAGTTTAACCCGCTGTGAGAACAGGAGGAACTTGTAACATCAAGGAAGAAGCAATGGGGAGACATTTATACCTGGTGACTGATGAAGCAAGAGTTTTCTCATGGGAGTTTGAATGCATTTCCCAATGTGATAGAAAGAAATGGGCCATGCGCCTTTCCCCATCACCATGGAAGGTGGAGGTGCAGGCCAGTGTGGAGACTTCTATCGCTGGGGCCTTGAGGATTATTGTTTTGAGTGGTAAAATGAGTACATTTGCTTTTATCCCAAAAAGGAACTGTCACGTATCCCGTAGCCTCTTTGGAATATGGGCTACTCCTTCCCACCAAGAGGACACCTCGGGACATATATAATTTGTCATGCCCCTGGCCTTGTGCACCTAGATAGTGCTGGTCTCTGTTTTCTACATGCTGAAAGGCCCCCACTGTGGACATATGCGGACTTTCCATGGTGACTCACAGGACAAGGCACTAAGAATTTTCCCTTTGACTGAACCGGCTAAAGACTAGATAAAGCAAGGAAAAGACAGGGACTCTTGTCCCTTGGGTTTTTCCTAAAGCATTAGTTGTTTCCTCCTGAATGGGAGGCAGGAAGGGCAGAAAGCAAAACCATTGTAATTAGTTGCCAATTTTCTTTTATTCATTTAGTCAACACATTTTAAAATGTGAAGGGAATGTTGTCATTGTCATTTGCAGCCGGTTCCTTTGACTATTAATGTGAAATCTCTCTGTTTTAGCTGGTTCCTCTCATCCCAAAAAAACAACTGGCTCCAAAGCATCAGCATCACCATCTACTTCCTCCACCTCATCTCGTCCCAAAGCTTCCAAGGAGACAGTTTCTAGCAAAACTGGGACAGTGGGAATCACAAAGGGCAAGAAAAAGACTGGCAAGCAGCCAACGTCTCGACCGTCCTCTGATGCAACCCCTTCTGCCGCATCTGACGCGAAAGGAGAACCTCCAGAGACCATGGAGGAGAGTCTCCACCCCGAGCCCACTGTCTCTGGCACCGAGGAGCAGACCGCAGGCAAACCCAAGTCTGACATCCCTCCACACCCCGTGACTCCGCCACCCCCACCCCCTGCCCCTCCTCTTCCTCTTGGAGAGCAGAGCTTTGTTGCCTCAGACACTCCTGTTGTCCTGGTCAGCAATGGAGCCGACCTGCCCGTCCCTGTCTTAGACCCAAGTCAGCTTCTCTGGACTGAAGAGCCAACAGATAGAACCACTATCCACTCAGGCACCGGCTTAAGTATTAGCAGAGACAATACAAAATGGTGAGTCGGGGCACACTCTCCGTATTCCATCTACATTCCATAGGAGCTGGCCACCTTCCTGGAAGCAAAGGACCCAGCTGTGGCTTCTTTTATGATTTAACCTAGTGAATGTTAGGTGAGCGTGCATCTAATCCAACCACTGGATCTTCCCAGCCCTGCCCTGGAATGTCTCGGCCTGCTGGGGGATATGACATTGGTCCTCATGACAGATAGCCCTGCAGAGCTCTGGCTTTTCGGAATATTTCAAGCCTATTTGTCACTGCTCAGCAGTCCTTCCAAGCAAGTTCCCTTCTTCCACTTTTAAATTTCTAGCTCTTGTGTCTAGATTGCTCCCCCGCTCTTGTCCCCCTTCATTTCAACCAGTTATTTAGCCTCTCCTTCTCCAGGAAAATGAAGACTGTCAGAACTCTTTCAAATTCCAACTCCCTTTCTCCCAACCTTAGAGTGGCTCTCTGTTTTGCTTTCTCAATTCCCTACCAGCTTCTCTGTGAAGGCTTTCACTCATCTAGACAGGATTGGTGATTAAATGTATTATATTCTGACAGCCCTTTTCCCTAAATGCGTGACAGAGCTAACCACAGGATTTATTTAATTCTATACCCCCACGACCAATATAGAATCACCTATGACAGTAAGCCAAGCCAGAGACTTGGGAGTCATATTCTAGGATTCTCAACCTCCTTTGTTCCCTGTATCTAATCGCTCATGAAGTTCTGTATATTTTCTTTTTTTGCACATAGAGGAACTGGAGTGTAGGCAAGAGGTGCAGGGGGTGAGAGGATTCACCAGGGACAGAGTGGGGACAGAACAGGCGGATCCACTGAAATACACTGCTGAGGGGAGCAGCAGGCGAGACAGGAGACGTCTGTGCTCCATGTGTGGGTCACCTCCCTGCTGGGGATTGAACTCAGGCCATGGCAGTGATGGCACTGAGACTTAACCCTTACACCACCAGGGAGGCCAAAATTTTGTATATTTTCTATTTAATAGGAGCTTTCCTGTTCCACACAGGGATGAAGGTGGTGCAGTCAGTCTCAGAGACTCAATACTGGTTCTGTCTAGGAAAGCCTTGGAATTCTTAAATCCAGTCTTTTCTCTCCTGTTTCTAGAAATAAAACCAAAAATTGCCCATCAAATTATTTAATTTAATATTTTCTCTTTCAAAAAAAAAAAAAAAACATTGTCATGCTAGAAAGGCTGGACAACCTAGTACATTAATAAGTTGACTTGGCTCAAGACACAAAATATCAGTAGTAGCTTCTCAAATTCGGATAAAAATATCTCCATTTTTGGGCCTCCCTGGTGGCGCGGCGGTTGAGCGCTGGGTTGCGAGGCTGCCCACAGCCTCTGCAGCGCCAGTTTGATCCCCGGCCACCGGCTGAGGGTCCCGCATGGCGCGCAGACCTCTCCTGCCGCCCGCTGCTCCCCTCAGCAGTGTACTTCGTCAGTCTGCCTGTTCTGCTCCCCGCTCTGACTCTGGTGAATTCTCTCACCCTCCCGCGCTTCTGACTGTGCCCAGTGCTTGTATAAATAAATAAATTTAAAAAAATATATATCTCCATTTTTTAAGTAACTAATGTCAGAAACTATCAGTTATTTAATTAAGTCTTCTGTGAAATATCTACTTAATAGACAACAAAACTGACATTAGAGAATTAGAGTAGCTTGCCCAAGATCACCCAATTGGTGAGTGGCAGAACAAGCAAGCAAACACTGACTACACTAAATGCCATACTGTCATTACTTTCCAGAACAGCTGCTTCTGCTACTTCTGTATTTCTTGTGTTTCTTTCTTTATTTTTTTAAGTATGATGATTCAAAGGAAAGATAAGTGTTAAATTACAAGTTATTTTGTCTGTTGGACATTTTCATCAAAGATGCAGGAAAAGAAGATACTGAAATCAGTGGTTATGGTGTCCTTCCAGCACAAAGAAAATGCCTTTATTTTATTACAGTGAGTGTTTTCCAGCATTGCGGTCAATTCAAAACATTTGAATGAAAAGTCATTCATATATATATATATATATATATATATATATATATATATATATCTTTTGTACATATTTTTTGTTTCCTTTTATGTACTGGGCAATATGCCAAGCACCAAAGATATAACAATGAGCAAGAAAAAAAAAAAACAGTTAAGATCAGTTTTTGTCAAAATAATGTCCAACATGTCCAGGACAGAGGTTTAAGATAAGGTCTGAATTTAGAGAAAAAGACCGAGTATTCATTGTTTAATATACTAAAGAATAAGATGCAACACAGAAAGTGGGTCCCTAGTCTTAAAAGCAACTGACACAACCCATATGAAACTGTGACCTCATTTTGTCCAGTCAAGTTTCACAAACATGTTGGGGGACATTGTATTGTGATAAACTCTGTACCTCATATGGAGTCTTAACCTCAGTCTTCAACTGTGTGTGCGAGATTGCCAAGCGAAAAAGGTGAACACAGTTCTCCATTCCACTGGGACCATGATCAGAGACAGTGTGTTGAGGATATCATGGTAGTTATAATAGATTTTTCTGTCAGTCACTAACTATAATGCTTTCCTAGAAGAGGGCATAGAGATTTTTTTTCCTATATATTCTTCAAAATTGAAAATTTAAATTACAAATCATCCCACAGGGGTGGTTTGTTTGTTCTTGAGGTAATGAGCTTGGACTATATTGTCTCTTAAGTTTCCTTCCAGATTCTTTCTTCCATTTTTAAGTGGATATTTCAATTAGAATTTCTGGCTCTTAGTCACTTTCTTTACTTAGAACTCTCCCTTGGTTATGTTTAGCCAACGAATGTGTGAAAATCCTGTCATCTTATGAAGAAACTTCTGTTTGGAATACAAATATTAAAACTTTAAAGAAGACAAGTGTTCATGTGTAAAAATATCTACCTTTGTTCCAATATTGCAGAGTAGTAACTATTTGGGAGATTTCTAGTCATTGGCAGCTTCATAAGTAATATATATGTATATATATATCATATATATATCTGGTATAATTTAAGGCAGAAACTAAAAATCCTCTGTGCTGCCCATATCAAAAAAGAGCTGGACTCTAGTGTATTTCCATAAACTTTTATGGAGTGCACAGTATTGTACAACATGCACAAGAACCTTAGGGAATAAATGAGAGCCAAGATGAGAGCTGCTTTTTAAAAATTTGAACTATACTATTTAATATTAGGTTAATTATAAGCTATAATATAATATTGATATATATTATATAGCATGTTAAGTATGAAATACTGTATAATATTACATAACATTTAATAGGTAGACTAAGAGTATTAATTCAGGTTCTACACTGGGCTTGCCACTTTGGTTGGACAACTCACCCTGATCCTCTTGAGATCCATGAACTATAAATTATCTGCCCTCCTACTGTAGAACAGTTGTAATTTATAATTGTATGCAGAAGTCTTTGAAACCCGCAAGACATTATGAAACACAAATAATGAGATTAAAATGAAAATCCATGTAATAAATTATTGAACAATGGCATGAACAAATACCAGGACTCAATCCTGAAGTAACTTTTGTTCTGCTCTTCAGAATGTGGTATTAATTGGCATATTTTTTAAAACTTAGTGCAGTCACCCATAATGGAAAACTATTCAATCAAGAATGGCCTCCAGTGGCCATGAGTTAGAAATCCAGACTCTGCAAAGGTTTTCCCATAAAATATTATTTAAAATGAGATTTCACACTATGGAAATAGTATGGTGGTTCCTTAAAAAATTAAACACAGAATTACCATATGATCTATGGTTCCCACCTCTGTGGAATTCCACTTCTGTGTCTATCATGAAAAAAAAAATTGAAAGCAGCTACTTGCACTGATATTTGTACACCAATATTCATAGCAGCCTTATTGACAATCACCAAAACAGTCTAACTGTCCATCAGCTGATGGATGGTTAAATAAAATGTAGTATGTGCATATAATGGAATCCCATTCATTATTAAAAAGGAAGGAAATTTTGATGCTGCTGTAATATGGATGGACATTGAAGACTTGCTAAGTGAATTGATTCCAGACACAAAAGGACACAAAAGGGCAAATAGTGTTAATTTCACTTACATGAAGCACTTAAAATAGTAAAAATTTATAAATACAGAATGTAGAGTGGTGAGGAGGAAGAAGCAGAGAGTCATTGTTTAATGGGGACAGATTTTCAGTTTGGCAAGATGGAAAAGTTCTGGAGATGATGGTGGGGTGATTGCCCAGCAGTGTGTCTGTGCTTAATGTGACTGAATGTGTGCTTGGAATGGTTAAAATGGTAAGTGTTAAACTATGTACATTTTGCACAAGAAAATATGAAATTTCCCATTACCCCTTTGAAAACAAGAATTTTAGCTATTGAATTTTTCTGATAAACAAAAAATAGAAAATTTTGACAGCACTTTGGCTTGTAACCACAGAGCAGAAATTTCAGTACCACAGATACTGACAAAATTTACCTGTTTTTATTATTCAAAGAACTGTTGTTTGGTTTTTTTAGTTAGTAAGAATAGCAAGCACATGTTTTGCACTCAACGGCCTTTCAGAAGTGTGACATCCCTATTTAGATTCTCCTATTTATATCAAAAAGCAATTTGGAAATTCTTCTGTGTCTTAACTTGAAGATTGCCTTGTATTTGATAGCATGTGTTTTCAATGTAAAGTGTGTTCTTATTCTAATCTGTGAAAATTGGCAAGCTTTGTATGTGTACAGTAACTTTAAGCCAGACACAGGTTAAATAATAGAAAATTATTGCATTCTTATATGTCACCTTTCTTCTAAAGATTTCCTTTAACTTTCACCTTTTTTATCTTGTATTAATTTAGTTCTGAGAGGCAATTTTACAAATAGAGGGACTGACTATTGACATATACTGGCTATGGTGAAAATGGGATTAATTCATATATCAGTTAAAGAATATGTACTTTTCTGTGTGACTGCCCTTTTAGGTGCCAAGCTTCCAAACAATATGAGTCTTATTTATCAAGGAGCTTTGAGGGATGGGAAGGCAGACTAATAATAGTTAGTCCTGTGGAATCTTCAGGTCACCAGGGGAGCAGGGAAGTAGGCAAGGAACTGGGGTGAGATTCCTGAAAGCACTAAGACTTTAACTAATACTTGAAGGATAAGTAGTTACAGGTCAAAATAAAAGTCTGGACAGAGTCAAGTATCCAGGAGCTTCTGGCCCATTGCTTTGGGCACCAACTCCCACCCCCCCACACACACACCCATTGCTTTGGGAAAATTTATTGACAAAGCATAGTTTTACCAAATTCATGTACTAAATAAATCAGACACTCTCTAGCCAATCCTTTTCACTGTGCTGATGAAAAATCTAAAACCTTGGGAGTGAAGTGTCAGTAGTATAGCACTGTTTTCCATTTCTGTGACTTTTGCTTGCCTGCCTGCTCCTTTCTCCAGCCTAAACGGTGCTCACCTAACTACAGCTATCCTTATGGTGCCTGCGTCCACCCCCTATGCCTGACGGGTGCTCAGAGCTTCACACCACCCTGTGTTTCTTTGCCTTCAACAGTTTCCCAACCAAAGATGAGCTGGGGACTGCCACAGCACAGCTGCTGACCCCTGGGCTGATGGGAGAATCTTCCGAATCCTTCAGTGCCCCGGAGGACGAAGGCCAAAGGGAATACCAGGCCAATGACTCTGACTCCGATGGCCCTATCTTGTACACTGATGATGACGATGAAGAAGACGATGAGGACGAGGATGGCAGTGGAGAAAGTAAGCCAGCGCAGGGAGGAAGGTGGTGGTGGGCAGGATCAGCTGTATTTTGTAAAGCAATAAAGTCTCATCAGGAACCAGACACCTGCTGTTTTCCTGCCCTTCCTCTTCCCTTCGCAGATTCTCTAACTATTAACTTCTTTACATCGAACTGTATTGAATTGCCCTTTGTTTACAAAACTATAGAACCTGAGGGGTAGAACTTCACCCCTCAACCTGTGCACATGTTCGGCTTGCCTCCAGCAAAGTGCCAGTGTCAATAACTACCACCTTATAAGATTTAGGTTTCAATAACAGACCTTCCAGATGATTCCACAGATGGGAGGGTTGGTCCTGAGTCTGTGAAGCTGACATGAATATTTGTATTTGTACAAAGAGTCAAAGCTGAGTGAGGCCTTTTTTGGCATGATCAAAGATGGACTTCCACCTGGGGCCACGCCCCCCACTCCAGCTAGTAAAAACACTTTATGTGTCTGTGTATGCATGCATGTTTATTGGGGTAATGTTGGCTTACAATACTGTGTATGATTTAGTATGTGATTTAGGGGTACAGGTTCACAACTTGTTCAGATGTACGTTACCACACCACGCCCTCCACCAAAGCCCTGTAATCCTCCACCATAGACTGTTGGACCCCCTTCTCGTCTAGTAACTTCAGTTCCACTGTCAGATTTCTGGGGTTTGTATTGGATGGCTTTTATCTGCTCCTTTGCTTTATTTCTTTATGTTCCATGTAAGAGTGAAGTCATCTGGTATTTGACTTTCTCCTTCTGACGTATTTCACTTAGCATAATCCCTTCCATTCATGTTGCTGCAAATGGCTAGTTTGTCCTTCTGAGTAGTATTATATTTTTTGTATATACCTCTTCTTTATCCACTCATCTGTCCTCGGGCACTTGTGGAAACTATAGTCAGGTCCAGTTCTTGAATAAAGAGTATCAGTGCAGGATTTGCTGAAGTACTTGTTGGAGGTGTTTGAGAGTTCCACTCACTTTTATACTAGAGTTTAGAGAGAGGGAGAAATGAATCAAAAATGACAAACATCTGTTAAGATTTATAAACAAACAAACAAAAAAAAAGATTTATAAACAGCCTCTCTTCCTTCTAGGGAAGAATGATAGCAAAGTAGATAAAGCTAACCATTGATGTATAAATTAGGGAAGTGGAAAATGCTAGTGTTTTTTAACCTTCCGAGCAGGATGACTTGGGAGCGATTAACTCTAGAATTGAACTTACAGATTATAAAAAGTCACTGGTATATTAATCATTAAGCAACACTTTGTCAAACTCCTAGTTTTACTGAACAACAAAAGTAAATTTTATCAGCTGGTATTAACAATCAACTGGTGAGGTATCAAGGAGTCTGGGGTAATTTTGGCTTAAAACACTCGTATCAAAGGTAGACTTTATTCCACGTGGTTTCTGAATAAGGAAAAAAGAAAGCAAAAATTTACTGCACAGTAGAAGTAAAGGGGCTAAGTTTTTACAACTTGAAAAAGAAAGAAAAGACATTATGCAATCAGTAATTTCCATGACCTGCCTTCTCAGCAGAACCAATTTCAAAGATCACTTTTGAAATGATGAGGTGATACTTGCAAGGTTTTTCATGGTGCCCCAACATTTTTCAGAACATTTCTAAAAACAGTTCGTCAGTTTTCAAAATGAACCACATCCAACTCACAACTTTTCCCCCTTAGATTAATTAAAATTCCACTCTTGCATGTGGATAAAGAGTTTCGTCTGGACTCTGTGTCAAGTCCACAGCATGTATAACCTGAGCGCTGCCTCCTAAAGCCTCTGTGTGCATTTCTGCCTCTTCCAATCCTCAGGTGCTTTGGCAAGTAAAATACGACGAAGGGATACCCTTGCTATCAAACTTGGCAACAGACCATCTAAGAAAGAATTGGAGGACAAAAACATCTTGCAACGTACGTCTGAGGAAGAGAGGCAGGAAATCCGACAACAGATCGGAACCAAGCTGGTCAGGTAATTGCTGAAATTTCAGTACAGTGCTGACAATTCATGCTCTTCTCTCTCCTGCAGTGCCCTACCTACCAACGATGGTTGTGAATTCCATGAGTTAGGGCACAACTGGCCTATCTGCCTGGTCCTTTAAAGTTGGTCTTGGTTAATGACCTGATCCAAGAACTTGCTCTTTGGTCCAGTAACCCAGTGGCTCTGAGGTCACCAACTGGCCTGGTCCAAGCATCTACAGGCTTTTTCTATAAAGGATTACTTAGTAAACATTATAGGCTTTGTTGGCTATGTTCCAATAAAACTATTCAACCAAATTGGCAGTAGACTTGTGTCATGGACCCTCCAGCATTTCTGTGATTATCATGAAGTTCTCTTCTGTGGGTTATGAAATGTTAAAAACACTACTTAGATTCAGGACTGCTTCCATCTCAGTTAACTGGAGCTCCCTACCTAAAATCCCCCTTTTAACGTCAATCAATGGTCATCATTATCTGAATTCTAGTTTTGCCACTAATGATTTTGTAAGTCCATTAGCTGGCAATTTTAATAGAAAGAGGGCTGATGCTCTCATTTTGATCACTAGTTAAGCATATTTAAGTATTAGGTTTTTACCTACCTTCTCTTTTCTGCATAAGTAATAGGATGAATAAATTGGGGGAAGGGAATAGTCTGGAAAGCCAGAGCAGGGTTTGGGAGTGGAAGGCTTTCATGAGTGCAGTACAGCACAGAATAGGCCTGTAGGACTTCTGGAGGCCATTGTATGTTTTGTAGGTGGGGTTGAGTGGGGGGTTATGGGAAATAAATGAGATTGTCTGTCAAAAGTACCTTAGTGCCTTCGATCATAGCAAGCATTTAATAAGATTAAATATTTTTCATTATTACTTTAAATTATTTTACTTTTTTTAATTTTTATTTTTTGTTTGTACAAGAGCTGGGGGTACAGGCTAGAGTCGCAGGAGGGTGAGAGGATTCACCAGAGACAGAGCGGGGAGGAGAACAGGCAGATGGACCGAAAGCATGGCTGAGGGGAGCAGTGAGTGAGACAGGAGAGGTCTGCCTCTCCATGTGGGATTCTCCCTGGCCAGCCAGGAATTGAACAGGCACTGTGGAGGCTGCGGACAGCTTCACAGCGCTGCACTCAACCCCCTGCGCCACTGGGGAGGCCCTATTTTACATTTCTTAAATTAGTAAAATACTTTTAAAAGTTAGACCCAATTTGGCAACTTTATGAGAAAATGGGGCCCCTATACTTTGCTCTTGTTCAATATTTCTGAAGAACAACTTAACTGCATGAAAAAAAAATAGCTATAAAGCAGTCTATTTCTTTACATGGTAATTCCATTTGGGAGACTGTAAAAGAGTAAAATTATCCAAAGAGGGAGAGAAAAACTCACTATTTTACAAGATGTTCACTTTAGCTACAAATTAAAACAAACCAAACTTTCAAAAAAAGGGACCATGAAGAACACTGTAAGAAGTTGCTGTTGTGAAGTAACCACAGAGCAGTGGTTTTCTAACTGCCTCCTCTAGGATTTCCCAAAGATGATACTCAGCCTTCTATTGGGAGAGTCAGGAAAGTGTAGGTGTGTTTTTAGGGTGGGATGCAAGGGGACACTATCACAATTCTAACCATCAGCTGGAACAGCGACTCTTCTGTCCGTTTTATGAAGGAATTCCAATGCCCAAAGTTTGAGAGTCTCTGTAAACACAGGTAGACCATATCTACACAAAATTTTACTGGAGTAGTGTTTGGTGTTAGAAATGTGTCAATTTTGGGCCTCCCATGGTGGCACAGCGGTTGAGCACTGGGCTGCGAAGCTGCCCGCAGCCTCTGCAGCACCAGTTCGATCCCCGGCCACTGGCGAGTGTCCCACATGATGCGCAGACCTCTCCTGCGCCCTCTGCTCCCCTCAGCAGTGTATTTCCCCTCAGTCAGTCTGCCTGTTCTGTTCCCTGCTCTGGTGAATTCTCTGGTGAATTCTCTCACCCTCCCACGCGTCTGACTATACCCAGTGCTTGTATAAATAAATAAATCTTTAAAAAAAAAAAAAGAACTATGTCAATTTTATAAAATCTGATCATTGTCAAAGGTAAATCAGAGCTCTGCCTTTGGGAAGCCCATGTCTAGCAGGAGAGGCAGGGTTGTATATTGCATAAAGGGATCATATGACCAGCACAGACATCTCAGTCAAGAGAACCGGTAGGAGTCCGGGCTGTAACATCCGCCAGTGTTTTATCTTAGACAATGAATTAATCTCACATTGTTTCATCTGAAAAACGGAAAACTGATTGCTATCTGGCTTAATTGTTTTGAGGATTCACGATAATGTAAATAAAGCACCTAGCATGGTACCTTGACTTTAGAATTATGAATTAATGACAGCTGTGATTATTGTCTTTGTTATAATCTGTGTGGCAAGCTCTTCAATGGATGTATAATTTATGTATAACCACTATAGAGGGGCAAAGAGTCAGGAGCCTTTTAGTCTCACTTGCAAGACACCCAATTTAAAGTCACTCTTTAAGTCATTTGTAAGATTTCTGTAGGTGGCAGAGAGAAGGGCATTCCAGAGGGAAGAAACTGCATAAACAAAGGAAGAATGATGTCTTTGGGGGATGATAAATTATAGACGTGTACGTGGTGACACAGAATAAAACCTGACTGGCATGATCATGCACTGGGTTCTTCAATGAGCCCTATTAAGTTAATTTCAAGGTAGTTCTGATGAAGATTAAACTTTAACAAAAATTTTAATGAACTACCTTAAATGTTATTGATTTTAATTCTTTGTACCATTGTGTTATAGCCATAAGCATTTAAAACCGTACATTAAGATTACCTTTTACATTAAGATGACCTTACATTAAGATTTCCTTTGCACAAACTCCACCTTCTTCCAGAGGAAATTTTTTTTTTTTAAGATTTATTTATTTATTTACACAAGCACTGGGTACAGTCAGAAGCGCAGGAAGGTGAGAGAATTCACCAGAGTCAGAGCGGGGAGCAGAACAGACTGACAAAATACACTGCTGAGGGGAGCAGTGGGCGGCAGGAGAGGTCTGCGCGCCATATGGGACCCTCACCCGGTGGCCGGGGATCGAACCGGCGCTGCAGAGGCTGCGGACAGCATCGCAAGCCATCGCTCAACCGCTGCGCCACCGGGGAGGCCCCAGAGGAAATTTTTGTTTGTGATTAGCAGCAGATTAATAATATAAACAAGTCCAAGAACAGAGTTATAAAGGGTAATTAATAAACAGAGTTATTAGAGCATTCAGCTCTTGTGTGAAAAGAGCTACTTTATCACAAAGGAGCTTGGCTTTTTCTGAAGGTAGGTGGGAAGGAGCTAGCTTTCTCCAGATAACTTTATATTTGTGTTATAAACTCACTCAAGGTCATGAAAACAACATTTCACTTAACACACTGTAGTGTAGATTGATTATTTCTGAGTTGGTATAAAATTTTGAGCAACAGGGTTTTTTTAAGAGTCTAATCATCACTATATTGATTAAGTCATTGACTCAGATGCTTTAATAGACCAGAAAGGGGAAGGTCCGAGCAAGGCACTTTACATGTTTCTTTCTTTTTCACATAACATTCAGAAAGAGCTGGTCTGTCCAGCATGAGTGGTGAACCCTGCTCCCTGCTGTCAGTTAGGCACCCAGGTTCCTTCTGTCTTGATGCTCTCCTATCTCCATGGATAGTAACTTTGGAATGTTCCAAGCTGGTTCACATGGCCATGTTTATGTTCCAGTCTGTAGAAAAAGAAAAAAGGAAGAAGGCAACACAAACCCAAGCATTTTAAATGTAGAAATCAGAAGTTTTAAAAACCTCACTTCTGCTCATATCCTTTAGCAAAGAACTCAATCACAAACCACCCATGGCTGCTACTAGGCAGAAGTCTGTAGCTGGGAATTATAGCTAATGCACAAAAGAGGTTCTGTTTCTAAAAGAAAAAAGGGACAATGGATAACGGGGGGTAGTTCACGGTCTAAACCACAACCTCCTAATGAAAAGGGGACTTTTATTTTGTAGGTTTAAAATTTGATTTTTGTTTCTCAAAATGGACAAAATACAGCATTATTGTTTTATTTTGTATCTCCCACTAGAGGAGGCCTTGCCTGTAACCTGCTGTGTATAAATGTTGTTTATATCCTTTTTGTCACCATAGGAGACTTAGCCAGAGGCCAACAACTGAAGAATTAGAGCAGAGAAATATCTTAAAACGTGAGTATCCTATGTTGTACAGATTCCTTGTATAGCCATATCAAGCTCCCTGTAGACACCATGCATTTATCAGTAGGAAACCTTAATATATTTATTCACAAGTGATTGAAATGGCCCATTTATAGTACATATGTAATTATTTATATAATTTTAAAAATAATTTCTTGGTGTTTATACTACATTTTGCAGTTTTGAGCCTAATATCCCCTAGACCAGAGTTGCAGCTGTGACAATTGTTTTTAAGAAAGACGAAATATATGCCAGGTATTCTTTCACCCAGATATTAAATGGAAGAAAGTGCTGTAGTGTGTTTACAAATAAATGTCAAGGAAAAGACTGAGGAATCCACAGGGAAATAAACCGAACATTCCTATATTATTACTAATCATACATATTGTTGCCAGGCTTAACAAATGTCTAACTTTAAAACAGAATGATGGTAAAAGGGATCTTTCAATCCACTTCATTTTCCTTTGTTATGATAACTCTGTTTCTCTCTGAGTTTGTAATTTCTCGGCTCTTAAGATGTTCTTCATTCATTTTCCTACTTTATTTCCCATTCTATTTTCTTTGACTTTATTTGTTACTTGCCAGCCCAGTAGAATTTGTTTTTGGAGTTCCTATGTCAAAGCCATAAAACTAAGAGAAGCCCAGTGTGTTGTGCTACCCTGTAGTGATGTGGTTACTAACCACAGTGAGTTAAGTAATGGATATTTTAAATTGAGCCTAGCTGCAGTTTTATATATTATTAACCCGTTTTCAAAAGAGCGCTTGATGGGATGAAATATCAAAGAGGAGGGATGGGCAGAACTCCAGATAATATTACAATAGTAATGAGTCTCTGGCGTTAGCGAAATCTTTTCCTGTCTGGATGATCCTCATTCTGCAATCGGTGTTGTTTTCTTTCCTGAAGAAAGACTTTAATAGCATATTTATTCTACAGTTGCTATTACTCAGACAACCCAACAATGAAACCTGAGCGGTGAGAGGAACCTCCAATCGATGGGATTTTTTCCTTGGAATGTTTTCTCTGACTGTGAGCATAACTGGAATAAAACACAAAAAAAGGATTTAAGTGACCATCCATGTGTGGAAGGGCCCTTTGACAGGGCGGGTGGAAGTCATGGCTAAGAAAGAAAAACACAAAGATTGTGTTTTAGCTTTCTGAGGAAGGACAAAAATAACATCTGATTTTGACATCAAAACAAAAGCAAAAGGGCTGATGGCTTTTGATAATGGGCTCCTGAAAAGTATTTGTTGAATTAAAGTGTAGATGAGCTTCAGATGCAGACTTCTAAAACACAGAGACTGTGTCTTATTGGATGCCTGATGCAATACCTAGAAAAAAAGGAAGCACACATTCTGGGTAATTCTTTCCTGCTCCTGTGAGACTGAGTGCCAAGCCACGCTGGTGTTTGGTTATTTGAGGAACTGTTTCAGAGGTCTAGAAATTTATTGCATGTTAATCTTAAGTGCTGTGTTGGCTTTTATTCCCCATTTTCCTGAAGGTTCAGGAAGGAGTGAAAACGCCAAAGTCAACTTCAGATTCCACTCCAGTCGTTTTTTTACTTCCTTTTTAGTTTTTCTAAGCATGCTTATTCTGGAAACAAAAGACACATTTCCAGTCTGGAGAGACTGATAACTGGCTTGTGATCTCCTGACATAATACTATATGGTGAAGGGAACCAGAGAGGAGAGTGGAGTGTAGAGGGGGCATCCATTGTGTGGGGTGAGCCATTCCAGGGGTCTGAATGGCTTCACTTAAGGCACTTTATTCAGCCCCCACCAGCCTCTAGGTCCTGCTACATAGATTGTGCTTGTTTTGTTCATGTTTCATCTCCAGCTCTTTTGAAAGGCAATATGATGGTCTCTTCAAAGAAAAGTCTCAGTGTGACATGGTCTGGTTCTTAAAGACTCTTCCCTTATTTTAACTTTTATTTTTGAGATGTCAATTGTTAACATGTCTGTTTAACTCTGGGGACACATTTTTACTGTTCTACATGTGCTTCATGCACCCTCCACCAAACCTTCCAGGTCATTACCCTCTCCCCCAGCCTTCTCTCCAGTAACCAGCGTTTCTTTCATAGAGTCTAAAAATTGTTTTTGCTGTGCTTTGCCAGTATATGTTTTATATGCCACAGACAAGTGGGACATCTGACCCAATATCTGTCTTTCACTCTGACTTATATCACTTAGCACACTCACCAAGGACCTTCCAATTTGCCCCCAAAGGTACTATTTTATCTTTTTAAATAACTGAGTAATATTCCACTAAGTATATAGTCCATAATTTCTTTGTCCAGTCATATGTTGTTGGGCAGTTAAGATGGTTCCAGGACTTGGTAATTGTGCAAAGTGCTGCTTTGAGCATAGGAGCACATAAGAGTCTTAGTATAAGAAATCATCAGAAAAACAAAAAGGCAGCTTGAAGACTGGGGGAAGATTTCTGCATATCACACACCTGACAATAGCCCTATTTCTAAAATGTATAAACTGCTTATACAATGCAACAAAAAATAAAATAGACAACCCAATCCAAAACATGGGCAATAGACCTAAATAGACACTTTTCTAAGGAAGGTGTTCATATGGCCTACGGGCACATGAAGAATCATTCAATATCACGTATTAGTAGGACATTTACTTTTAACTGGGTCATCTTTTCATGAGCCTAATTCACAGCATAAAACACCAAGCAGTTCTCATATCTGAGCCTATCACTAGTTTAATAAACATGGTTCAGATGGCATTCAATGCTAGTCACTTTAATTAGAGAATGCAGGACCAATTTTATTTCTTAGTATCACATCTTAATTCATCTCTTACCCATTTGAGTACATCTAGGGTTTTTAAAAAATATATATATTTAACAAGTTGTAGTTAGTTGTTTATTTTAGAACCAGTTCCTTAAATTTTCTAAATAGAAAGCAAGTTTTGGTGCTTGAAAGGGCAACTTTTACTTAGCAGAAAAAGTGATGTGTATAGAATGCCCTTACAAGGCAGAGATAAATGATACTGATCATCTCTTACCCTTTAGCTATAACTGTAATTCCAGCTATATATTCAATAGAGGAAAAAATATATTAGGCCATTGAGTTCTGCATGTGTTTTGCCCCAACATTTTATCATGAAACATTTTAAATATACATAAAAGTTGAAAGAATTTTACAATAAAAACATACCACCTATATTCTACCATTAACATCTTGTGTTATCACATCTTGTTTGATCATATATCTGTGTACTGATCCATTTTATTTCTTTCAGTGTGTTTTAAAGTGACTTTATATGTGTACTTTCATTTGTTAAAGACACCTACAGAAAATGCGTAGCAAAAAGAAAAACCCACAAAAAATATGTGGCTTTTTTTTTAACCCATGTTATCTAAATGAATAATACCAGAATATAAAACTCCAGATGCTGGTATTTCAGTGCTATCTTTTCTTCTCCTTTTAGTGCATCCACAAAATGCTCTGGGCAACACTTGCTGACCAAGTACTTTTCCTGTGGTGCCCACTGCTGTTAGAGTACATGTGTTATTTGTATGTTTATGGGAAAGTCTTCCTGGGGCTATTTTAAAATGCCCGCCTCTCTGCTTCATATAGAGGCAAGATTTGTCCAAGAACCACATCACTTTTTCATGAATATCCCTCCAAGTCTTTTAAAATGACCAGAAAGGTATATATTATCAAATCAAGCAATGAAGGGAACATGTGAAATATTCAGGGAATATTTTTTAAACCAAGTTTAAAGTTTAACCTTGACTTTTTAGAAGAGATCTTACAATGACTAATCTTATCAAAGATTCAGAAGAACAGCCACTTTGCCTCCCTCCACGCTCTTCCTCCTCTAAATTCTTCAGAAGCACAACTTTGAATATGGGAAATGTAAGGACACAGTTCCTGATGTTAAAAATGAATTCCCAGATGGTAAAATCCTGTGTGTGTAACTCCCCCAACTGCCATTGAACCTTCTTTTTTTTAAATCACTAGCTGTCACCTAGATGTACAATATGCCTAATAAGGTAAAATTATCTAATATTTCCTTCAAGAAAATTACCTTTTGTGTATTTCAGGGAAATTGGAGCATTTATTAGCTTTGAGTCCTATTAGAGATCCAATTTCTTATCTCTGAAAAGTATCTTTAAAATGTAGCATAATCACTATATATGAAGTATTGACTGAAATGTTTTAAAAATTACAATTTTCTTTTCATAAATCATATCCAAAGCCTGGCCTTATAAAGTCCTAGTTAGAATCACATGAACTGCAATTTGGTGTTTGTCTATTATGTATAATTTACAACCTATGTGCTTTATCCAACTCATGTAAGATATTTTTTTTACTCAAAGAATATATTTTAAGGATATCTATTTTGTGAAGCAATTAAAAAAAAAAACATACAGTATTTTCATAAAAAGAAATCTAAATTATAACCAAATTTAATTGACACAGGCACTCAGTGAGAGCACACTAACTAGTTATTTCTTGTTTTGTAGGGTGAATTCAATTTATGTTCACTCTTTGTCTAAATAGGCACACTGATTATCCTCTTTCTTATGTATTAAAATTAGTATTTAGAACTTTCCCCTGCCCAGATGAGGAAAATAGAAAATTTAGCACACTGAACTAACACATACAAACATTGCAAATATTGAATACTGATATTTAATCATGAGAAAAATAGTCTAAGAAGTCTATTTGGATTTTTTTAAATACAAATAATTGTCTTTCATTAAAGAGACTTTTCATTTTCAACCTTTAGGGTGAGCCTTTTTCTGGTGTGATTTTTTTCCCTTCATTAGAATTCATAACAACTCTTTCTAGTAAGCCTTTAAACTATGGAATATTTTTTTAATCACTAGGAATATTTCACTAAAAGATAATCTTTCCTAAGTCTTGGTATCCAAAAAGTAAAATCTTTGCTCACTAATTGAACAAATTATGAGCTACAAGAAACAACAGAGAGAAACTCATCAAATGAGCAACCATTAAAATCTCAAGGGGTATTTATTTCTTTTAAATTCCTGGACTTTTTTCTCTTAATCCCGTCTTTTGGACAGCATTCACTAAAGTTGGCTATTAAATTGTACTACTTGGTAAAGCACTAGAGAAAGAGATGACTTTGGAAAGCCGAGTCACAAGAAAATAAATAATCTCCATCAATAGTACACCATAACCCCTTTGAGAACATTCTGGTTTGAAAGCAAAGGCCAAAGAAATGATTATATTCTGCTTCTATGGAAACCAAAGCAGACAAATCAAGTATTTTGGTTGGATTTGAATGAAAATCAGCAACTCAGACATGCATCAGATGGTTCTAATTTGTTCTTTTGATATGTCTCAGATTTTCCCATGAATACCAGATCCAGAAGTATATTTTTTTTCTGAATTCTGATAAATTGTGCTTATAAGCCCATGTGATGATCAGCAATGAAAGGCTTTCACAAGGATATGGGTATATGGGCACTCGTGATTTTTTCAGAATAGAATAAGATATCAGGAAGCAGAAAGATTTACAATTAATAATGAACCAATCCTATATGGAGAAAATGATCTGTTTTTCTGCAAAATCTTTACATGACTTTTTAAAGATGTTAGTGGAGTATTCAATTATTATATGTTAGGGTCAAATAATTGCAGGATTTACTTTAAGGTTATAAAATAATTTGTAATAATTAAGCCTTTATGCCTTTTCCTCCCACTGATGAGCAGAAAAGAATGAAGAAGAAGAACAAGAAGCAAAAATGGAACTTAAACGCAGACTCAGCAGAAAGGTGATGAAACTATGTTAATGAGCATGTGTTTTCTGAGAAATACTACATTTTTCAAATGCACAGCAACTCTCTTCATGTAAATTTGATATTTAGGATTAACTATTCCTGTGAACCGACTAACTATTCATAGACATTACAATCAATGTAATGTACACAATATGAATTATGTTTATGCTTACAATTGCATGGTTATGTTAGTTTTGAAAAGTTAGTCAAAGTTTTGAATTGCGTTGACTGGTTAGGAAAATAACATAATCTGTGTGTAAAAAATTTAATGCAAAGTGAAGCCCAAAACAAAAATGGGACAGAAAAGAAAATCACACAAAAGTCTTCCATTCTGAGATAACCATAATTAACACTTCAAGGTGTAGTTTTTTTAAATGCTCACCCTTTCAGTGTAGTCTTGAAAGTATTAAATAAATATTTTGTTACTACTATTTCCCACTTTCTTTACTAATGAATAGTCTCCACTATTCAGTATCTGAGCTGGGTGAATAATTTATTAAGTGCACTTGATCACCCAGCCTCCCAGATGCAGTGCTACCCAAACTCAGAAAGTGCTCACTTCCAAAATTCAGACAACTGTTTCCACCCACTTGTGAAAATAAAAATCTGATACCAGGACCATCCTTTTTTCTCTAGGTGTAAATAAGTCTTTGGGAAAACTCAGCACTCTCAAGAGTTTATATTTCATTATAAATCCTTGTTCAATAATTCTTCAGATACACCTTCACACCTGGAAGAGGGCATCATGAGTAAAATATGACCTTTGCAGTGAAGTGGACTGCCCCACATTTTTCTGGGCTGAGGAGTCCACAGCAAGAACATTGTAAGGCAGGCAGAAGAAGCAATCCATTCCCATGAAAGAGTTATTGAGGCTATTTTGAGAGTGTTTGGTTTTGATATTTAGAAAAAGTTCATCTCTGTTTTTCTCAGAGATCCAAAATGTCAAATAACAAGCTGAAAAGCTTGTCAACTGAATTTCTAGAGATGGTTCTTCTCCCTTTCAGTAGCCATTAAGTTAGCAGCTATAGATTAGCTATAGTCCTTTGTCACTGCTCCAGGCTCAGCCCTTCGTGCATAGTCTTCTCTCCATCCAGCTGGGTGCCTACAGGCGGCAACAGCGCCTGTCCTTCCCTGCCCTGGCATCTACCCGCATAGTACCAGAGCACTAATAGCTAGCCAGTGACTGGCTCAGTCCTGAAAGACAAGTCTGGATTGAAAATGTCTGAGCTGGTCACTGCCTTTTGCTCAGTCCCTAGACAAGATGGTTTCTCTTCCTCCTTAGTCCCCTGCCCCAGAAAGTTAGTAAGATGCTAGCAATAGATCGGAGAGCAACTGAGAGTATGGCAGAACTACCTGATTCATTCCTTCCTTTGTCCATTGCCTCCCAGGGCTTCAGGAAGATGGAAGGAGCCGCAGTTGCCATATCCCAGCGCAGGTCGGCTCAGAGCCAACCCAGGACTTCTAAGAGTTCTTGACTGCTTTGAATGTTAGAGACCTATTTTAGTTCAGCCTGTGGTTTTACTCAGGATGAAACCAAAGGGGTGTTTTTGACCACAGAATGTAGCCCAGTGTACTTCCTTTAGCCTATGCAAATAAGGAACACCTCCAAAGAAGAGCCCTTGAACAGTGGAAAGTCTAGCTGTATACACCGGGCACGTAAGAGAGAAATAATACTGAACATGGACCTGCCGGGTATACAGAGGCCTGGGACTACCTGACTGATAATATTGTGACATTTCTAATGCAGGGCACATAGAGTGACCCTCAATAGCTGAGAGTAACAGATGCCTGTAAACAAGGGACCAGTTGGTCAGCACCATTTCTGTCTTATTCTTGGGCTTGAGAAATGACCGAGAAAGGAAAGTAGATACACACAGGACTGGGTAGATTCGAACATAACTAAGTTTAAATTTGATCAAAACCCCAGGTAAGGGAAGCATCTTAGTGGTTGCCACTGATTCTAAGCACTCCTGGCACCACTGACAGGCAGTTCTGTAACATCTCCCTCGTTCCTGCACATTAGCTTTAACAGCCCCAGGTGAATGTCAAATCAGGGCTTGAAACTTATTCTCTCATGGGAGACTGCCGCAGCCTCAGCTTCACTGGATCATTTCTTTGTTATAACTTTGTGAATTTCTGAATATACAGGTTTAATATTAATAGGGACAGAGACTTTTATTCTCATTTCTAAAAGTTGCAGGACTTTCACCTTGATAATTCAATCCCCCCAACCAACCATCCTGTATCTGGAGGACTTTTGTGTCTGTGTCTCTCTATCTTCTCTGTGTCAGGGATGACAGATGTCTTTATCACAATGCCAGGCAAGTGGTGGGGGAAATAGCATAATGCAGATGGCTGTCAAAGACTGTGACCTATCTAATGATGGTGATTTTTATAGTCTCAAAATTAGGACACACTGCTTTCTAGTTCTCATTAGGAACTCCCAAGATGCTGCTTGCCTTTTTTTTTTTTTTTGATATCTGAAAGTGACCTTATTTAACCATAACTTTGAAGTTTTGTATGGAAAACTTGCCACCACAAGGCTGCAAATATTTACTGAACTTGTCTTTGCCCCATCCTCCCACAGCTCAGCCTGAGACCCACCGTGGCAGAACTGCAAGCTCGAAGGATCCTGCGGTTTAATGAGTACGTTGAAGTCACCGATTCTCCTGACTATGATCGCCGGGCAGACAAACCCTGGGCCAGGTTGACACCTGCAGACAAGGCAAGAACCCCAGCGGCTTTAGCCATGATTTTATTTATTTATGATTCAATTGATTTTCTAAAGGCTCCAATATCCACTTACTTCCCTAACACACAATACTTAATCATCTTAAAAGGCTAGGTATTTCCAAATATTACTGACAGTTTTTTGTCTGTGATTATCTATGCCACTTAAGTGATATGTTTTTGGTATTATCAGTAGAGTTTTTTCAACCAAGTCAGCAAAAACTAGTTTTAAGTTACCATGTAAACTGCCTACAGTCAAACCAGGATGGGGGAGAGGGGCTTTCCCAAGCTAAGATTTATACTTATTCCAGGAAAATATAACACACAGATTATTATTTTAGAGGATATGTTAACAGTGAAAACGGTTGCTCTATATCAAAACTAGCACTTCTATAAATGGCCAGAAAGTACACTTTTTATTTTAATTTTTTTTTAAAATAAGATTTATTTATTTATTTATACAAGCACTGGGTACAGTCAGAAGCACGGGAGGGTGAGAGAATTCACCAGAGTCAGAGTGGGGAGCAGAGCAGGCAGAAGGACCGAAGTACACTGCTGAGGGAGCAGCGGGCGGCAGGAGAGGTCTGTGCGCCATGCGTGACCCTCCTCCGGTGGCTGGGGAGCAGCCAGGGATCGAACCGGTGCCGCAGAGGCTGCGGGCAGCTTCGCAACCCAGCACTCAATCGGAGTCCCCCAAAGTACACTTTTTTAAGCTTTATAGGTCATACAGTTTTATGACAACTGCTCCACTCTTCCATTATAGCTTGAAAGTAGCCATTGACAATAAGTGAGTGGATGTACATGTGTTCCTATAAAACTTTATTTATAAAAATAGATGGTGGGCTTGATTTGGCCTTTGGGCCATCGTTTTAAATCCCTGATCAATATTATAACTTGCTTTTCAGAAAAACTTAAATGTATAAAGGATTCCATCATAAAAGACTTACTTTATGGCTACTATGTTTCCATAACAAAAGTTTTATGATAACCATTATTTATAAATGCTTCACTTCAGGACTTTCCTACTATCCCAAGTAATGATTACTAATTTTTGCCTGTGAGCAAAAATTTATTACTGAGAATACTGAAACCACACCCA